TTGAACATCTCACATACCTTGAAAACCATCGCTGCTGTTTTACTAGGCCAAGCATCTTAAGAATTTTATTCATATCCTGTCTTTGTAATTATGTGGGAGGGGCTGGGATGGGGCAGAGATTTTAAAGTTTCCAGAAGATTAGTCAGGATTGGACTGCACACTATTGACTTCAGTCATACCATTTCTCCCCCCCCCCTCCAATTAGGTGTAACCTCTATGTTGAAGTGGAAAAGACATAGGAAACTGCAGTTGCTATGGCAGCTTTGAGTCCTGCTGCTGGTTCCCCATCAACTGCACCGATACCACCAGCTTTGCCTCTCGGACCAGGGACAGGAGCCATAGCAGCTCGTGGCAAAAAGCGACCTGCCAGCCCTGGCAATGGTAGCTGTAGTAAGAAGAAGCGCTTGGCAGCTCCAGCTGGTAGCAGTGGGAATTCTCAGAGTACCAATGCAGAGACAGCAAATGAAAATAAAATGCTGACTACTGATTCAAGCACCGGACCGGTAGAAAATTCTGTCAAACCATTGCCGTTTAAGGCTCCAAGTTTCATTCATTCTGGGATTGGTGGTGCTGCAGCTGGCAAAAAGAACAGAACCTGGAAAAACTTGAAGCAAATCCTTGCATCAGAGAGGACATTGCCATGGCAGTTGAACGACTCAAACTACTTCAGCATTGACGCTCCTCCTTCCTTTAAGCCAGCCAAGAAATACTCTGATATTTCTGGACTGCCTGCCAACTATACTGATCCACAGAGCAAACTGAGGTTTAGCACCATCGAGGAGTTCGCATACATCCGGATGCTCCCTTCAGACATTGTTACAGGTTATCTGACTCTAAGGAAAGCTGCAACTGTTGTTCCCTGACAAGTATACCCTGACAAGTTTGCTTCTGTTGTAACATGTTCATATGAGTAACAGTCAAAAGACTGTTCTTGCAGTTGCCCCTAATCTTCAGTCCACTTAAATTTTATTTGTGGTATTCAAAGTTGAACACATTCTGTTGCAGTCATTCATGAAGTTGTAAAACTGCAGCCATGCAAAAAGTAATTTGTACTGGCTATAAGAAAAGTCAAAAATCCACTGGGGTTTTTAAGCTGATTAAATAGTATTCTTCTGTCATTTTGGTATAGTATACATAAAGTACATGAGAAATTCAATTCTCATTGCATTTCATGCATAGCCTTTTGTTCTGGAATTCCTAAAGTGTTCTGAAGTGAAATTTTAACTATTTGGACATTAATTTGTAAAATTA